GGCAGAGTGTGGCGATGGAGACAGCAGCAATGGGAGGCCGTACAGGGACCCATGACAGACTCTGGACTTGGCAGCAGCATGAGGAGGCGGTATATAGGGGCCCATGGCAGATTAGGGGCCTGGCAGCAGCTATGTGAGGCCCGTAATCTGCCAGCACCCTATGTCAAAAAATTTAAACACACAGCAGCAGTGTGTGAGAGAGACCTGAAAGTGGCACATGGCAGCAGAGTGTGGCGATGGAGACAGCAGCAATGGGAGGCCGTACAGGGACCCATGACAGACTCTGGACTTGGCAGCAGCATGAGGAGGCGGTATATAGGGGGCCCATGGCAGATTAGGGGCCTGGCAGCAGCTATGTGAGGCCCGTAATCTGCCTGCACCCTATGTCAAAAAATTTAACACACCAGCAGTGTGAAGAGACCTGAAAGTGTGGCACATGGCAGCAGAGTGTGGCGATGGAGACAGCAGCAATGGGAGGCCGTACAGGGACCCATGACAGACTCTGGACTTGGCAGCAGCATGAGGAGGCGGTATATAGGGGCCCATGGCAGATTAGGGGCCTGGCAGCAGCTATGTGAGGCCCGTAATCTGCCTGCACCCTATGTCAAAAAATTTAACACACCAGCAGTGTGAAGAGACCTGAAAGTGGCACATGGCAGCAGAGTGTGGCGATGGAGACAGCAGCAATGGGAGGCCGTACAGGGACCCATGACAGACTCTGGACTTGCAGCAGCATGAGGAGGCGGTATATAGGGGCCCATGGCAGATTAGGGGCCTGGCAGCAGCTATGTGAGGCCCCCGTAATCTGCCTGCACCCTATGTCAAAAAATTTAACACACCAGCAGTGTGAAGAGACCTGAAAGTGGCACATGGCAGCAGAGTGTGGCGATGGAGACAGCAGCAATGGGAGGCCGTACAGGGACCCATGAGAGACTCTGGACTTGGCAGCAGCAGCATGAGGAGGCGGGTATATAGGGGCCCATGGCAGATTAGGGGCCTGGGGCCTGGCAGCAGCTATGTGAGGCCCGTAATCTGCCTGCCTGCACCCCTATGTCAAAAAAAATTAACACACCAGCAGTGTGAAGAGACCTGAAAGTGGCACATGGCAGCAGAGTGTGGCGATGATGGAGACAGCAGCAATGGGAGGCCGTACAGGGACCCATGAGAGACTCTGGACTTGGCAGCAGCATGAGGAGGCGGTATATATAGGGGCCCATGGCAGAGATTAGGGGCCTGGCAGCAGCTATGTGAGGCCCGTAATCTGCCTGCACCCTATGTCAAAAAATTTAACACACCAGCAGTGTGAAGAGACCTGAAAGTGGCACATGGCAGCAGAGTGTGGCGATGGAGACAGCAGCAATGGGAGGCCCGTACAGGGACCCATGACAGACTCTGGACTTGGCAGCAGCATGAGGAGGCGGTATATAGGGGGCCCATGGCAGATTAGGGGCCTGGCAGCAGCTATGTGAGGCCCGTAATCTGCCTGCACCCTATGTCAAAAAATTTAACACACACCAGCAGTGTGAAGAGACCTGAAAGTGGCACATGGCAGCAGAGTGTGTGGCGATGGAGACAGCAGCAATGGGAGGCCGTACAGGGACCCATGAGAGACTCTGGACTTGGCAGCAGCATGAGGAGGCGGTATATAGGGGCCCATGGCAGATTAGGGGCCTGGCAGCAGCTATGTGAGGCCCGTAATCTGCCTGCACCCTATGTCAAAAAATTTAACACACACCAGCAGTGTGAAGAGACCTGAAAGTGGCACATGGCAGCAGAGAGTGTGGCGATGGAGACAGCAGCAATGGGAGGCCGTACAGGGACCCATGACAGACTCTGGACTTGGCAGCAGCATGAGGAGGCGGTATATAGGGGCCCATGGCAGATTAGGGGGCCTGGCAGCAGCTATGTGAGGCCCGTAATCTGCCTGCACCCTATGTCAAAAAATTTAACACACACCAGCAGCAGTGTGAAGAGACCCTGAAAGTGGCACATGGCAGCAGAGTGTGGCGATGGAGACAGCAGCAATGGGAGGCCGTACAGGGACCCATGACAGACTCTGGACTTGGCAGCAGCATGAGGAGGCGGTATATAGGGGCCCATGGCAGATTAGGGGCCTGGCAGCAGCTATGTGAGGCCCGTAATCTGCCTGCACCTATGTCAAAAAATTTAAACACACACCAGCAGTGTGTGTGAAGAGACCTGAAAGTGGCACATGGCAGCAGAGTGTGGCGATGGAGACAGCAGCAATGGGAGGCCGTACAGGGACCCATGAGAGACTCTGGACTTGGCAGCAGCATGAGGAGGAGGCGGTATATAGGGGCCCATGGCAGATTAGGGGCCTGGCAGCAGCTATGTGAGGCCCCGTAATCTGCCTGCACCCTATGTCAAAAAATTTTTAACACACCAGCAGTGTGAAGAGACCTGAAAGTGGCACATGGCAGCAGAGTGTGGCGATGGAGACAGCAGCAGCAATGGGAGGCCGTACAGGGACCCATGACAGACTCTGGAGACTTGGCAGCAGCATGAGGAGGCGGTATATAGGGGCCCATGGCAGATTAGGGGCCTGGCAGCAGCTATGTGAGGCCCGTAATCTGCCTGCACCCTATGTCAAAAAATTTAACACACCAGCAGTGTGAAGAGACCTGAAAGTGGCACATGGCAGCAGAGTGTGGCGATGGAGACAGCAGCAATGGGAGGCCGTACAGGGACCCATGACAGACTCTGGACTTGGCAGCAGCATGAGGAGGCGGTATATAGGGGCCCATGGCAGATTAGGGGCCTGGCAGCAGCTATGTGAGGCCCGTAATCTGCCTGCACCCTATGTCAAAAAATTTAACACACCAGCAGCAGTGTGAAGAGACCTGAAAGTGGCACATGGCAGCAGAGTGTGGCGATGGAGACAGCAGCAATGGGAGGCCGTACAGGGACCCATGACAGACTCTGGACTTGGCAGCAGCATGAGGAGGCGGGTATATAGGGGCCCATGGCAGATTAGGGGCCTGGCAGCAGCTATGTGAGGCCCGTAATCTGCCTGCACCCTATGTCAAAAAATTTAACACACCAGCAGTGTGAAGAGACCTGAAAGTGGCACATGGCAGCAGAGTGTGGCGATGGAGACAGCAGCAATGGGAGGCCGTACAGGGACCCATGAGAGACTCTGGACTTGGCAGCAGCATGAGGAGGCGGTATATAGGGGCCCATGGCAGATTAGGGGCCTGGCAGCAGCTATGTGAGGCCCGTAATCTGCCTGCACCCTATGTCAAAAAATTTAACACACCAGCAGTGTGAAGAGACCTGAAAGTGGCACATGGCAGCAGAGTGTGGCGATGGAGACAGCAGCAATGGGAGGCCGTACAGGGACCCATGACAGACTCTGGACTTGGCAGCAGCATGAGGAGGCGGTATATAGGGGCCCATGGCAGATTAGGGGCCTGGCAGCAGCTATGTGAGGCCCGTAATCTGCCTGCACCCTATGTCAAAAAATTTAACACACCAGCAGTGTGAAGAGACCTGAAAGTGGCACATGGCAGCAGAGTGTGGCGATGGAGACAGCAGCAATGGGAGGCCGTACAGGGACCCATGAGACAACTCTGGACTTGGCAGCAGCATGAGGAGGCGGTATATAGGGGGCCCATGGCAGATTAGGGGCCTGGCAGCAGCTATGTGAGGCCCGTAATCTGCCTGCACCCTATGTCAAAAAATTTAACACACCAGCAGTGTGAAGAGACCTGAAAGTGGCACATGGCAGCAGAGTGTGGCGATGGAGACAGCAGCAATGGGAGGCCCGTACAGGGACCCATGACAGACTCTGGACTTGGCAGCAGCATGATGAGGAGGCGGTATATAGGGGCCCATGGCAGATTAGGGGCCTGGCAGCAGCTATGTGAGGCCCGTAATCTGCCTGCACCCTATGTCAAAAAATTTAACACACCAGCAGTGTGAAGAGACCTGAAAGTGGCACATGGCAGCAGAGTGTGGCGATGGAGACAGCAGCAATGGGAGGCCGTACAGGGACCCATGACAGACTCTGGACTTGGCAGCAGCATGAGGAGGCGGTATATAGGGGCCCATGGCAGATTAGGGGCCTGGCAGCAGCTATGTGAGGCCCGTAATCTGCCTGCACCCTATGTCAAAAAATTTAACACACACCAGCAGTGTGAAGAGAGACCTGAAAGTGGCACATGGCAGCAGAGTGTGGCGATGGAGACAGCAGCAATGGGAGGCCGTACAGGGACCCATGAGAGACTCTGGACTTGGCAGCAGCATGAGGAGGCGGTATATAGGGGCCCATGGCAGATTAGGGGCCTGGCAGCAGCTATGTGAGGCCCGTAATCTGCCTGCACCCTATGTCAAAAAATTTAACACACCAGCAGTGTGAAGAGACCTGAAAGTGGCACATGGCAGCAGAGTGTGGCGATGGAGACAGCAGCAATGGGAGGCCGTACACAGGGACCCATGACAGACTCTGGACTTGGCAGCAGCATGAGGAGGCGGTATATAGGGGCCCATGGCAGATTAGGGGCCTGGCAGCAGCTATGAGGCCCGTAATCTGCCTGCACCCTATGTCAAAAAAAAAAACACCCCAGCAGTGTGAAGAGACCTGAAAGTGGCACATGGCAGCAGAGTGTGGCGATGGAGACAGCAGCAATGGGAGGCCGTACAGGGACCCATGACAGACTCTGGACTTGGCAGCAGCAGCAGAGGAGGCGGTATATAGGGGCCCATGGCAGATTAGGGGCCTGGCAGCAGCTATGTGAGGCCCGTAATCTGCCTGCACCCTATGTCAAAAAATTAAACACACCAGCAGTGTGAAGAGACCTGAAAGTGGCACATGGCAGCAGAGTGTGGCGATGGAGACAGCAGCAATGGGAGGCCGTACAGGGACCCATGACAGACTCTGGACTTGGCAGCAGCATGAGGAGGCGGTATATAGGGGCCCATGGCAGATTAGGGGCCTGGCAGCAGCTATGTGAGGCCCGTAATCTCTGCCTGCACCCTATGTCAAAAAATTTAACACACCAGCAGTGTGAAGAGACCTGAAAGTGGCACATGGCAGCAGAGTGTGTGGCGATGAGACAGCAGCAATGGGGGCCCGTACAGGGACCCATGACAGACTCTGGACTTGGCAGCAGCATGAGGAGGCGGTATATAGGGGCCCATGGCAGATTAGGGGCCTGGCAGCAGCTATGTGAGGCCCGTAATCTGCCTGCACCCTATGTCAAAAAATTTAAACACACCAGCAGTGTGAAGAGACCTGAAAGTGGCACATGGCAGCAGAGTGTGGCGATGGAGACAGCAGCAATGGGAGGCCGTACAGGGACCCATGACAGACTCTGGACTTGGCAGCAGCATGAGGAGGCGGTATATAGGGGCCCATGGCAGATTAGGGGCCTGGCAGCAGCTATGTGAGGCCCGTAATCTGCCTGCACCCTATGTCAAAAAATTTAAACACACCAGCAGTGTGAAGAGACCTGAAAGTGGCACATGGCAGCAGAGTGTGGCGATGGAGACAGCAGCAATGGGAGGCCGTACAGGGACCCATGACAGACTCTGGACTTGGCAGCAGCAGCAGCATGAGGAGGCGGTATATAGGGGCCCATGGCAGATTAGGGGCCTGGCAGCAGCTATGTGAGGCCCGTAATCTGCCTGCACCCTATGTCAAAAAATTTAACACACCAGCAGTGTGAAGAGACCTGAAAGTGGCAAAGTGGCACATGGCAGCAGAGTGTGGCGATGGAGACAGCAGCAATGGGAGGCCGTACAGGGACCCATGAGAGACTCTGGACTTGGCAGCAGCAGCATGAGGAGGCGGTATATAGGGGCCCATGGCAGATTAGGGGCCTGGCAGCAGCTATGTGAGGCCCGTAATCTGCCTGCACCCTATGTCAAAAAATTTAAAACACACCAGCAGTGTGAAGAGACCTGAAAGTGGCACATGGCAGCAGAGTGTGGCGATGGAGACAGCAGCAATGGGAGGCCGTACAGGGACCCATGACAGACTCTGGACTTGGCAGCAGCAGCAGAGGAGGCGGTATATAGGGGCCCATGGCAGATTAGGGGCCTGGCAGGCAGCAGCTATGTGAGGCCCGTAATCTGCCTGCACCCTATGTCAAAAAATTTAACACACCACAGCAGTGTGAAGAGACCTGAAAGTGGCACATGGCAGCAGAGTGTGGCGATGGAGACAGCAGCAATGGGAGGCCGTACAGGGACCCATGACAGACTCTGGACTTGGCAGCAGCAGCAGCAGCAGCATGAGGAGGCGGTATATAGGGGCCCATGGCAGATTAGGGGCCTGGCAGCAGCTATGTGAGGCCCGTAATCTGCCTGCACCCTATGTCAAAAAATTTAACACACCAGCAGTGTGAAGAGACCTGAAAGTGGCACATGGCAGCAGAGTGTGGCGATGGAGACAGCAGCAATGGGGGGCCGTACAGGGACCCATGACAGACTCTGGACTTGGCAGCAGCATGAGGAGGAGGGCGGTATATAGGGGGCCCATGGCAGATTAGGGGCCTGGCAGCAGCTATGTGAGGCCCGTAATCTGCCGCACCCTATGTCAAAAAATTTAACACACCAGCAGTGTGAAGAGACCTGAAAGTGGCACATGGCAGCAGAGAGTGTGGCGATGGAGACAGCAGCAATGGGAGGCCGTACAGGGACCCATGAGAGACTCTGGACTTGGCAGCAGCAGCATGAGGAGGCGGTATATAGGGGCCCATGGCAGATTAGGGGCCTGGCAGCAGCTATGTGAGGCCCGTAATCTGCCTGCACCCTATGTCAAAAAATTTAACACACCAGCAGTGTGAAGAGACCTGAAAGTGGCACATGGCAGCAGAGTGTGGCGATGGAGACAGCAGCAATGGGAGAGGCCGTACAGGGACCCATGACAGACTCTGGACTTGGCAGCAGCAGCATGAGAGGAGGCGGTATATAGGGGCCCATGGCAGATTAGGGGCCTGGCAGCAGCTATGTGAGGCCCGTAATCTGCCTGCACCCTATGTCAAAAAATTTAACACACCAGCAGTGTGAAGAGACCTGAAAGTGGCACATGGCAGCAGAGTGTGGCGATGGAGACAGCAGCAATGGGAGGCCGTACAGGGACCCATGACAGACTCTGGACTTGGCAGCAGCATGAGGAGGCGGCGGTATATAGGGGCCCATGGCAGATTAGGGGCCTGGCAGCAGCTATGTGAGAGGCCCGTAATCTGCCTGCACCCTATGTCAAAAAATTAACACACACCAGCAGTGTGTGTGAAGAGACCTGAAAGTGGCACATGGCAGCAGAGTGTGGCGATGGAGACAGCAGCAATGGGAGGCCGTACAGGGACCCATGACAGACTCTGGACTTGGCAGCAGCATGAGGAGGCGGTATATAGGGGGCCATGGCAGATTAGGGGCCTGGCAGCAGCTATGTGAGGCCCGTAATCTGCCTGCACCCTATGTCAAAAAATTTAACACACACCAGCAGTGTGTGAGAGACCTGAAAGTGGCACATGGCAGAGAGTGTGGCGATGGAGACAGCAGCAATGGGAGGCCGTACAGGGACCCATGACAGACTCTGGACCTGGCAGCAGCAGCATGAGGAGGCGGTATATAGGGGCCCATGGCAGATTAGGGGCCTGGCAGCAGCTATGTGAGGCCCGTAATCTGCCAGCACCCTATGTCAAAAAATTTAACACACCAGCAGTGTGTGAGAGACCTGAAAGTGGCACATGGCAGCAGAGTGTGGCGATGGAGACAGCAGCAATGGGAGGCCGTACAGGGACCCATGAGAGACTCTGGACTGGCAGCAGCATGAGGAGGCGGTATATAGGGGCCCATGGCAGATTAGGGGCCTGGCAGCAGCTATGTGAGGCCCGTAATCTGCCTGCACCCTATGTCAAAAAATTTAAACACACCAGCAGTGTGAAGAGACCTGAAAGTGGCACATGGCAGAGTGTGTGGCGATGGAGACAGCAGCAATGGGAGGCCGTACAGGGACCCATGAGAGACTCTGGACTGGCAGCAGCATGAGGAGGCGGTATATAGGGGCCCATGGCAGATTAGGGGCCTGGCAGCAGCTATGGAGGCCCGTAATCTGCCAGCACCCTATGTCAAAAAATTTTAACACACCAGCAGTGTGAGGAGACCTGAAAGTGGCACATGGCAGAGTGTGGCGATGGAGACAGCAGCAATGGGAGGCCGTACAGGGACCCATGACAGACTCTGGACCTGGCAGCAGCATGAGGAGGCGGTATATAGGGGCCCATGGCAGATTAGGGGCCTGGCAGCAGCTATGGAGGCCCGTAATCTGCCAGCACCCTATGTCAAAAAAATTTAACACACCAGCAGTGTGAGGAGACCTGAAAGTGGCACATGGCAGAGTGTGGGCGATGGAGACAGCAGCAATGGGAGGCCGTACAGGGACCCATGAGAGACTCTGGACCTGGCAGCAGCATGAGGAGGCGGTATATAGGGGCCCATGGCAGATTAGGGGCCTGGCAGCAGCTATGGGAGGCCCGTAATCTGCCAGCACCCTATGTCAAAAAATTTAACACACCAGCAGTGTGTGAGAGACCTGAAAGTGGCACATGGCAGAGTGTGGCGATGGAGACAGCAGCAATGGGAGGCCGTACAGGGACCCATGAGAGACTCTGGACCTGGCAGCAGCATGAGGAGGCGGTATATAGGGGCCCATGGCAGATTAGGGGCCTGGCAGCAGCTATGGGAGGCCCGTAATCTGCCAGCACCCTATGTCAAAAAAAAAATGAACACACCAGCAGTGTGTGAGAGACCCTGAAAGTGGCACATGGCAGAGTGTGGCGATGGAGACAGCAGCAATGGGAGGCCGTACAGGGACCCATGAGAGACTCTGGACCTGGCAGCAGCATGAGGAGGCGGTATATAGGGGCCTATGGCAGATTAGGGGCCTGGCAGCAGCTATGTGAGGCCCGTAATCTGCCAGCACCCTATGTCAAAAAATTTAACACACCAGCAGTGTGAGGAGACCTGAAAGTGGCACATGGCAGAGTGTGGCGATGGAGACAGCAGCAATGGGAGGCCGTACAGGGACCCATGACAGACTCTGGACCTGGCAGCAGCATGAGGAGGCGGTATATAGGGGCCTATGGCAGATTAGGGGCCTGGCAGCAGCTATGGGAGGCCCGTAATCTGCCTGCACCCTATGTCAAAAAACTGAACACACCAGTAGTGTGTGAGGAGACCTGAAAGTGGCACATGGCAGAGTGTGGCGATGGAGACAGCAGCAATGGGAGGCCGTACAGGGACCCATGAGAGACTCTGGACCTGGCAGCAGCATGAGGAGGCGGTATATAGGGGCCTATGGCAGATTAGGGGCCTGGCAGCAGCTATGGAGGCCCGTAATCTGCCAGCACCCTATGTCAAAAAAAAAACTGAACACACCAGCAGTGTGTGAGGAGACCTGAAAGTGGCACATGGCAGCAGAGTGTGGCGATGGAGAGCAGCAGCAATGGGAGGCCGTACAGGGACCCATGACAGACTCTGGACCTGGCAGCAGCATGAGGAGGCGGTGTATATAGGACCTGGCCTGGTATATAGGGGCCTATGGCAGCTGGGGCCCGTAATCTGCCAGCACCCTATGTCAAAAAACTGAACACACCAGTGTGAGGAGTGGCACATGGCAGAGTGTGGCAAGTGTGAGGAGACCTTGAAAGTGGCACATGGCAGCAGAGTGTGGCGATGGAGACAGCAGCAATGGGAGGCCGTACAGGGACCCATGAGAGACTCTGGACCTGGCAGCAGCATGAGGAGGCGACATATATAGGGGCCCATGGCAGATTAGGGGGGGCCTGGCAGCAGCTATGGGAGGCCCGTAATCTGCCAGCACCCTATGTCAAAAAACTGAACACACCAGCAGTGTGTGTGAGGAGACTGAAAGTGGCACATGGCAGAGAGTGTGGCGATGGAGACAGCAGCAATGGGAGGTCTCCCATTGTCCCAACATGGCCCAAATAGTCCCAACATGGGCCCCCTGGCCACGCTTGACTTTCTGGCCACATAGTCGACATACGGCTACGTTTACTTCCTCGGGCGGCTTGACGAAATAAAAATGCCACACCACCGCCGAGTAGGAAAACTTTGCCCCCGATACTCCTCACTGGCTGACTGCTGCTTCCTCCGTGCACACCGGCACCACTACTGGCCGTGGTGGTAGGCTGCAGTGGAGCTGGTGCTCTACTCTCCGTGGCCGTTTGGCTCCACTGACACTGCTTCCACTGACACTGCTGCGACCCTGCTGCTGTCTCCTGGGCAACCCACCGACTGTTTCGCTCACTGCCCAAGCTGCCACCCTCTTCTCCTGATGATGCGGAAGAAATTGCCTGATGACGACGAGGCTGCCAAGTGCGATCAACCTCCTCATCATCAAGTAGGGTCTCCGCCTCACTACTAGCCCCCTCGGCTGCGTCTGGGTCAGGAGACAGACCTGTCTCCAGACCGGCTACCGGGCCACTCTCCTCGCCACTACTTCTTCGCGCCTAGCTGCTGAAAAGGCGGATGTCTCCCCCCGTTCCTGACCGCCCTCTGTTAGCTCTTCCTCACTGTACAGTGGGGCTGAGCCCACAGCATGCGATACTTCGCTTGGTGAGGGAACACCAAAGGACAGGGGCAGGTAGAGGACACGTGATTTCAGTGGGCTAGGTCCCGGGCCATGCCAACTAACGTTTGTGTCTGACGTACCCACCGACCGTTGGCTGTAGGTGTCAGAGGTGACCTGGAAAGAGGAAGACGACCGAGCCAACCAATCGATAACGGCAGGGTTGTCGGTGGAGACACGACCGCTGGATGACACCGGGAGCACTGGCCTCTGGCTGCGAATAGTGCTGCCTCGACCCCTTCCTCTGCTGCCACGTCTGCTCGCTCCTAAAACATTGCCTCCTCTGCCACTCCTCTGCATGTTGTCTGACATACTATTTAATTCAACGATTATGTGTCCCTGAGTAACAATTCTGTGTCCCTGAGTAACAATTCTGTGTCCCTGTGCGAGTAACAATTCTGTGGCCCTAAGTAACAGTTCTGTGGCCCTCAGTAACAATTCTGTGTCTGTCCCTGAGTAACAATTCTGTGGCCCTAACTAAAGTTTCTGTGGCCCTAAGTAACAATTCTCTGGCACTCAGTAACAATTCTGTCTGTCCCTGAGTAACAATTCTGTGGCCCTAATAAACAATTTCTGTGGCCCTAAGTAACAATTATCTGGCACTCAGTAAACAATTCTGTCTGTCCCTGAGTAACAATTCTCTGGCACTCAGTAACAATTCTGTCTGTCCCTGAGAGTAACAATTCTCTGGCACTCAGTAACAATTCTGTCTGTCCCTGAGTATGAATTCTGTGGCCCTGAGTAACAATTGAGTAACAATTCTGTGTGTGTCTGTGCAGTAACAATTCTGTGCAAGTCTTTTGTGTCTGTGAGAGTAACAATTCTGTGCACTGCAGTAACAATTTTGTGTCTGTGAGAGTAACAATTCTCTGGCACTCAGTAACAATTCTGTCTGTCCCTGAGTAACAATTCTCTGGCACTCAGTAACAAATTCTGTAACAATTCTCTGGCACTCAGTAACTTCTGTCTGTCCCTGAGTAACAATTCTGTCCCAATTCTGTCTGAGTAACAATTCTCTGGCACTCAGTAACAATTCTGTCTGTCCCTGAGTATGAATTCTGTGGCCCTGAGTAACAATTCTGTCTCTGTGCGAGTAACAATTCTGTGTCTGTGCAAGTAACAATTTTGTGTCTGTGAGAGTAACAATTCTCTGGCACTCAGTAACAATTCTGTCTGTCCCTGAGTAACAATTCTCTGGCACTCAGTAACAATTCTGTCTGTCCCTGAGTAACAAATTCTGTGGCCCTGAGTAACAATTGTGTGTCCCTGTGCAAGTAACAATTTCTGTGTCTGTGCAAGTAACAATTCTGTGTCTGTGCAAGTAACAATTTTGTGTCTGTGAGAGTAACAATTCTCTGGCACTCAGTAACAATTCTGTCTGTCCCTGAGTAACAATTCTCTGGCACTCAGTAACAATTCTGTCTGTCCCTGAGTAACAATTCTGTCTGTCCCTGAGTAACAATTCTGTCTGTCCCTGAGTAACAATTCTCTGGCACTCAGTAACAATTCTGTCTGTCCCTGAGTATGAATTCTGTGGCCCTGAGTAACAATTGTGTGTCTGTGCAAGTAACAATTCTGTGTCTGTGCAAGTAACAATTTTGTGTCTGTGAGAGTAACAATTCTCTGGCACTCAGTAACAATTCTGTCTGTCCCTGAGTAACAATTCTCTGGCACTCAGTAACAATTCTGTCCTGAGTAACCTCTGGCAGTAACAATTCTGTCTGTCCCTGAGTAACAATTCTCTGTGGCCCTGAGTAACAATTCTGTCTCTGTGCGTTCTGTGTCTGTGTAACAATTCTGTGTCTGTGCTCAGTAACAATTTTGTGTCTGTGAGAGTAACAATTCTCTGGCACTCAGTAACAATTCTGTCTGTCCCTGAGTAACAATTCTCTGGCACTCAGTAACAATTCTGTCTGTCCCTGAGTAACAATTCTCTGGCACTCAGTAACAATTCTGTCTGTCCCTGAGTAACAATTCTGTCTGTCCCTGAGTATGAAATTCTGTGGCCCTGAGTAAGAATTCTCTGGCACTCAGTAACAATTCTGTCTGTCCCTGAGTATGAATTCTGTGGCCCTGAGTAACAATTGTGTGTCTGTGCAAGTAACAATTCTGTGTCTGTGCAAGTAACAATTTTGTGTCTGTGAGAGTAACAATTCTCTGGCACTCAGTAACAATTCTGTCTGTCCCTGAGTAACAATTCTCTGGCACTCAGTAACAATTCTGTCTGTCCCTGAGTAACAATTCTCTGGCACTCAGTAACAATTCTGTCTGTCCCTGAGTAACAATTCTGTGGCCCTGAGTAACAATTCTGTCTGTGCCTGAGTAACAATTCTGTGTCTGTGCAAGTAACAATTTTGTGTCCCTGAGTAACAATTCTCTGGCACTCAGTAACAATTCTGTCTGTCCCTGAGTAACAATTCTCTGGCACTCAGTAACAATTCTGTCTGTCCCTGAGTATGAATTCTGTGGCCCTGAGTAACAATTGTGTGTCTGTGCAAGTAACAATTCTGTGTCTGTGCAAGTAACAATTTTGTGTCTGTGAGAGTAACAATTCTCTGGCACTCAGTAACAATTCTGTCTGTCCCTGAGTAACAATTCTCTGGCACTCAGTAACAATTCTGTCTGTCCCTGAGTAACAATTCTGTCTGTCCCTGAGTAACAATTCTGTCTGGCCCTGAGTAAGAATTCTCTGGCACTCAGTAACAATTCTGTCTGTCCCTGAGTAACAATTCTGTGGCCCTGAGTAACAATTGTGTGTCTGTGCAAGTAACAATTCTGTGTCTGTCTGTGTCTGTGCAAGTAACAATTTTGTGTCTGTGAGAGAGTAACAATTCTCTGGCACTCAGTAACAATTCTGTCTGTCCCTGAGTAACAATTCTCTGGCACTCAGTAACAATTCTGTCTGTCCCTGAGTATGAATTCTGTGGCCCTGAGTAACAATTGTCTCTGTGCGAGTAACAATTCTGTGTCTGTGCAAGTAACAATTTTGTGTCTGTGAGAGTAACAATTCTCTGGCACTCAGTAACAATTCTGTCTGTCTGTCCCTGAGTAAGAATTCTCTGGCACTCAGTAACAATTCTGTCTGTCCCTGAGTAACAATTCTCTGGCACTCAGTAACAATTCTGTCTGTCCCTGAGTAACAATTCTGTCTGTCCCTGAGTATGAATTCTGTGGCCCTGAGTAAGAATTCTCTGGCACTCAGTAACAATTCTGTCTGTCCCTGAGTATGAATTCTGTGGCCCTGAGTAACAATTGTGTGTCTGTGCAAGTAACAATTCTGTGTCTGTGCAAGTAACAATTTTCAGTGTCTGTGAGAGTAACAATTCTCTGGCACTCAGTAACAATTCTGTCTGTCCCTGAGTAACAATTCTCTGGCACTCAGTAACAATTCTGTCTGTCCCTGAGTAACAATTCTCTGGCACTCAGTAACAATTCTGTCTGTCCCTGAGTAACAATTCTCTGGCACTCAG